CTTTACGTGGGAGCTGGTTAGTGGCCCAAAGAAATTGCCAGCTACACTGAAGTGTCCATGAGATGTTGCTTGATTCTACCTCTAGTCTCTTGACTTCTGTAACCTTTTTAGTGAGACCTCAGACACTTCCATGTTCAGACTTACTGTGAATGGTATTCAGTGAAGAAGGGAAGAGAGAGACAAGAAAGGTGGCCTGGTTACTGAGTAATACATTACTGTACATCCTTAGGAGGAGCATGGTTGGACCAGTGCACAGCTGTGGTTCAACAGAAGAACTGAAGGGACACTAGCCCACTCAAGCACATGGCTCTGGCAGGCATTGCCCTTCTTCCCAGGTCCCTCTGTCTTGCTAAAAACAGACTATATTCCTGGAGCTAGCCCCCACGATCTGTTCCCTTATTTGGCCACTTCTTCCTCCTGAGGCTGACTACCAAAGTTCAGCTATCAAAATATTGAAGTCCAGCAAATGAAGCCCCCTTTGGCTGACCTAATTAACATGCCCAATTAAAATTAAACACCTCATCCTACCAGGGGTTTTCTCCTTTACCTTTATAAACTGCCATTTCCTATATGCCCTGTCTGTCTCCCCTCTAGTAAGTATCTAGAGGCAGTCCTTTGTCCTTTGGTGACAGATATCCCTACCCACTTTCCATGGTTCCAATCTCCTTCTCCCCCTTCCTTTATCTCCTGTTTGTAGTCCTTATTCCTACCCTCTATCCATCTAAGGCAGATAAATTTGCTTTATACTGAGAACTTTTTCTTCATGTAGGTCAAGTATGAGAGTTATCTGCCTAATGGCAAGAGATACTTTAAATTCAGCTGGGAAACAAATGTGTTACTAGTCTATAGCAGTCACAGGAGATAGTACCTTTTCAGCACCAGGCAATGAGCGATCCAAGTTCCTAAAGGAAAGTGAATCCAGACACACTACACCATCCCGACAGACCCACCTAACCTACAGGAGTGAATTTCTGTATTATTCTTTGAAAAATGCTTGCTAGGCTTAAAGATGGGCCATTTTCTATACTGCCACTCTAGAAAGGGGACTCATCAGAGATCTGAACTTCATAAAAAGTTGCAGTTGCTCTTGCTAATGGTGACCATATCTTCTGCTTATTTCTCCAGATAATAATTTCTCCAGTCCAAAGTGACTGTTGAAAGACACAAATCTTTTGTTATTAATTTTATGCAGTCCCTAAGAAATGTCTTAAAACCTTTCTGTCAAGTCCATGCATGAGGTACCATCTTAGAAGCAAGGAAACATCTGGTTTGGCCTTCTTGTCAAAATGCAGATGTAATTCTCCATTTTGACAAATAAATTCTGCTTTGTCATAAAGAACATTTTGGTTTAATTAAATTTACCAACAAAAGAAATGGGATTCTACTTCTGTACTCATCTCTGGCTCTTTCATGGGCATCATGTGAGTTTGAGTGTCTTAAATTTGAGTGACATAAGTTTTCTGTATTAGACCCTTTTAGAATACTAACATGAGTTTTTCTCTAAGAAAAACCTCACTTGGGTCTGAATTTAGAGGAATGGATGACTGTTGAGCAACAAAGGTAAGTAATGAGATTTAGTAATTTAGAAATAGTAATGATGACTGTTGAATAATAAGATTTTTCCTTTCAAGTATTTAAAATCCTATTTGTAGATACAGTGTATGTTAGGACAAGAAGAATTAAGATGCATCGATGAGAAATCTGCTAAGAGAATCATAAAAACCCTCAAAAACATTTTGCTGCAGATTTCTTACTCTTTTCCTTCTTTTAATTCCCTTTCTCTCTCTTTGAATTAACTGAAACATATTCCTGTTGTCTGAAACTGTAATGGTTAAATATGCTACCTTTGTGGGAACACGAGTTGAAGATATTTAACCTTTGTAGGAACATTTACATTATACAGAATTCTTTTCTATTAACCAGAGAATCAAAGAAAGAGCTCAAGCATGCTCCACTAACCTCCTCCTAAACAAGAGCCTATGCTGAGAGTTTCCTGTCTTCTTACTAGGACAGGAAGATTAGCTCAAGTCAAACCACAGCCTAGTAATGCTTTTAAATCCTAGAAAACTCCACAAAATTTGTCTACTGCTATATCTAACTTTCTTTGAGGAGTTATAATAATGTTTTTATTTGTCAGACACTTTGGTAAACATTCAAGTTTCTAGGAAGACAGTTACTAGAAGATCCTAAAGTATCCAAATGTTTCTAGATAAGTCAGAGGTCATCTTCCTATAATGAGAAATAATATGTGAAGAAAAAAGTAAAAGGATGCTTATAGTTCTTGCCAGCTTGCCCTGAGAATCCCTCTCTTCCCAAAATATTCTTTTGATAAAAAAAAAAAAAGAATGGCAGGAAGCATTTTGTTCTGCCACAACAAGTTTTATGAACTTAGTGGCCTTTAAGATCAGAGAAATAGTTGGCGTACCTTCCCTTTATCCATGATTTCCCAGTGTAGTACCTAATTATTGGATCACCTAAGAGAAAAGAGGAGCGGGAAAGATTTATGTAATTTTTTTGTTCATTGCTTAACTCCAAGAATTTTAGAAAGAAATATAATTACAGTTAACATTTGAGTGTTGAGTGTTTATGCTTCTGGAAACTGTAGTAAAGATTTCCTGCTTGCTGCCATCTACTGCTCCTAGAAATGAGTAAACAAGATTGATGCTGTTATTCTTCTGTTTGCAGGAGAGTAAAGTGATACTAAATAAGTATAGGGAGTTGCACGAGTTCCCACCATCGGAAATTGAGTGCATCAGCGTTTGTGCTGAAACCATGTGTGTTCTGAACTGTGTTCTTGACTCCAGCTCCAGTCTCCAGATATCCATGTCTGCTTATTTGCCAAATAATCATCTTCACAGCAAAAGAAAATACCTTGAGGTCACAGAAGACAGAAGGAGGCAAAGTACGGTGCTCTTGAGTAAAAAGTCTTTGAAGTCGGTGTAGTACGCCAGTCTTTTTCCATCCTGTGTTGCTGTACCAGAATACCTGAGATTGAATGCTTTTTATTTGTTTTTTTTTACCTTTATTTTATGGAAAATAGATATTTTCATATAATATATGATAAAGATTTTCCCTCACTCTACTCTCAGTTCTTCTCTATTTCCCCTCCATTGCAGACCCAACTCATTTCTCTCACTTATTAGAAAAAATAAAACAGGCATGATTATCCTATACAGTGGGGGGATGGGAACAGAAAGGTTCAGGTATGGAGGAGAGAATGGAGGGAGAGAGTACCAGGAGAGAAAACTGGATTGCAGGGTATAGCTTAGGGACAAGCTGGAAACCTAGTGCAAGGAAACTTCCAGAATTGTTTAAGATATCATGGGATTTTTGTGTTTCTATATAAAGCTGAAAATTGCCCTTTCAAGATATGTGAAGAATTGTGTTGGAATTTTGATAGGGATTGTGTTGAATCTGTGGGTTGCTTTTGGCAAGATGACCAGTTTTACTATATTAATTCTACCAATCCATGAACATGAAAAATCTTTCCATCTTCTGATATCTTGTTCAATTTCTCATCTTCTGATATCTTGTTCAATTTCTTTCTTCAAAGACTTGACTTGAAGGCTTTATCATAAATGTCTTTCACTTGCTTGGTTAGAGTTACCCCAACATACTTTATATTTTTTGAGGTTATTATGAAAGGAGTTGTTTCTCTGATTTCTTTCTCAGTCCATTTGTCTTTTGAATATAGGAAGTCTACTGATTTTTCATATAATATATGATAAAAGTTTCCCCTCACTTTATGCTCCTACTTTTCTGAAAGTGTTGGTCAACTATTGGAATTTCCAGAGGAAATATTTAGTGTCATTTATGCATACTATCATATCACCTGCAAATAAAGATACTTACTTTCACTTCTCCCTTTCCAGTTTGGATCTCTTTGATCTCCTTCAGTTCTCTTGGGGCTCTAGCTAAGACTTCACCTACTATATTGATTAATTATGGAGAGAGTGAACAACCTTGCCTTGTTCCTAATTTTAGTGGAATTGCTTTGAGTCGCCCCCCCCCCATTTAAGTTGATGCTGGCTATGGAAATGCTTATCATAGTGTTTCCTTTATCATGTTAGGCACATCCCTTATACCCCTAATCACTCCAGGACTTTAATCATGAAGAGGTGTTGGACTTTATCAAATGTCTTTTCTGCATCTATAATAATGAGATGATTATCTGGGTTTTGTCTTTCAGATTGTTTATATGATGGATTACATTTATCAATTTACATAGATTAAAACATCCCTGTACTCTGGGATGAACCCTACATGTTTGTGGTGGATAATCTTTTGGATGTGTTATTGGATTCAGTTTGCAAGTATTTTGTTGAGAATTCTTGCATAGATGTTCATGAGGTAAATTTGCCTGTGATTCTCATTCTTTTGTGAGCGCTTATGTGGTTTAGGTATCAGGATAACTGTGGCCTCTTAAAATAAGTGGGCAATGCTCTTTATGTGTCTATTTTGTGGGATAATTTGAGGAGTATTGTCATCAACTCTTCTTGAAAAGTCTTGTAGAATTCTATGCTAAAATCATGTCATCCTGGTTTTGTTTTGTTTTATTGGTAGACATTTAATTACTGCTTCTATTTTACTTGGGATTATAGGTCTGCTTAAATTGTTTATATAATATTTTTTTAACTTTAGTTGGTGGTGTATAACAAGAAAATTTTTGCAAAATATTTTCAGAACAATTTTAAACTTTATTAAATAAAAATGCATAAACACAACTATAATATAGTGAACAGGAAAGTTAAATACAATTTATCACATGTAAAATGGATTATTGTATAATGAGCAATATCAACCCTAAATCTCCACTTCCACAATGGGAATGGGATACATCAATATTAATCTAATGAATTAAGTAAAAATCATAACTTTAAATTGAATCAAACTTTCCAAATAATTCAATATAGCAAAGCTGAGGTTTGGATTCAATGAGACCTGGGATAATAATGGATATTTACCATTATAGTTACTTCTAATCAACTTCCCAAAACTAAGGCAAGTCTTCTTAATTCTGGGAAAGAATGTATCTTTAAATAAGCATGATGCTTTTCTCAACAGTTCTGCATCCTATGCAAGTCCAGTAGAGTGTGATGGGTCAGGAAAGCATCAGTCTGTGCAGTTCATTGTCCTTTCTTGTACTGTTTTCAAGCTTTAAAAAATACATTAAAAAATACCACCTCCAGCTTCAATTTAACACATACAACTCCAGCATTAGAAATGAGAGTCAATATTTCCTGCCTCTTCTTGCTGATGTCCCTCCTGATCTTAAGCAGGGAAAGACAGTGTGATGGGCATTCCTTTCAGGAATAAACAGTTCAAATAAGGAGTAGAGTTGGTAACTAGAGAATATTGTGAAATGACAACTGCCAAGGTTTGCAAATGAGTTGGTGAAAACATAATCATTGGAGGGCAAAGAAGACAATAAATATAATTCACTAACTAAATTCAAAATAAAAACAATTCATAAACTAAATCCAACATTAAAACAATTCAGAAACTAAGTCCAACATTAAAACAATTCAGATACTAAATCCAAAATTAAAACAACTCATAAACTAATTCCAATATTAAAACAATTCATAAACCAAATCCAACATTAAAAAATTCATAAACTAAATTCAACACTAAAACAATGTTTTTTTGAACATGTGTTGTGTGGGTTGAACAGCGGTTTCGAAGCATGCAGTAGTTACTTGCAGCCTATAGATGGCATTGGGCAGGACTCCCCAGGTGAGGACTATATTGAAGAGAGAGGGCTTCCTCCATGTCAGGCAGCTCAGTATCTGTTTTGAATCTATTCAACCCATCTTGTTTGAGGTATATAGAAACATCAATGGAAAAGTGCAGGGTGCCATAGCAACCAGGTGGATGTTGTTACAGTAGGTGACAATTCAGGATTTCCCACACCATCCTCTTCCTAAAGATGGGCATGTGTTGTTGAGAAAAGGTAAGTGGTTGGTCTCTAGAAATGTAATCTGCATATTGACAAGTAAATATTCCACAGTCACTCCCATTGAGTTGTTGAGGAATCTCCTTTGATGTCATACTGTATCTTTTCCACTCCAAAGGGTCCAGCTCAACGTTCCTTCGAGTTTTGCTCTCATTTTGTAAATATTCAAAGATGGTCTCACAAATGCTCTGCCCTGTCTGTCCCATTGAATCGAGGTATATGATACTCTGTTTTCTTAGGTCGATTACTATCAGGCTCCAATGTACCTTCTGGTGAATAGGCACAAGAATAATTTCTTTTTCAAACAGTTTTATTCCTCGAGTCCATCGTTTAACAGAACAGTAGCCACCATGCTTTAGTTTAGGATAAAAAAAAGTGTTGAACACATGAAGAGCTGGGTACCCTTTTTTGTTATTTCTCTCAACCAGAAGATTCATGTAAAAATTGATGACCTCATCATTGAGCCACTCACCATTCTCTAGTGTGTGGATATCTCCTCGAGTAATATGCAATTTGAATGCACTAGTTAAGATTTCCTCCTGGGGTCCTGGACCTAGTGCCTTTTTTATTTCCTTTTCCATGTCCTCTGTAACATTAAGGACTTGATCCATTCTTCTGACCTTTTCTTGGTCTACAGCAGGCTTTTTCTCTGCCATAACTACTGGCATCTTGTTGGGGAGTGACCTACTGCTGCCACTATGCAGGAAGACTTGAGCCTCTGCTCTTAGCAAGTCAGGCTCCACGTCGTGTCCTCTTCTTCCTTCAAGGCTTACTGCATCATTCTTCCGTGTATCAGAAGAGTTCTCTGTACACATCCTCACTTTTTTGTCTGGTGAGATACATTCCTTTGTGGCAACAACAGTAGATTGTTTAGGATCACACTGAGTTGTTCTGGATCCATGACTGTGCCCTTCCACACAACCTTTGATCTTCATGGTATCCACCAGGGTTGTGTGAGCTCTCTGTGGGTCAGATTTCATGTTATTACCAGGTGGAAGGTGCTGCAGTAACCTTTGGTACTTTTGCCTTAGGTGGTTTTCAGCATATTCCTCCATGAGGCAAGAGGGTCTCTTGAGACCCTTGCCGCCATCCCCAGACTTTCTCACAGTTACAGCCTGCTCCTGTGGACCTTTGGCCCACTCTAGGGCCTTTAGTTGTCTTATACTTTCTTGCTGGGGTTCCCACAGTTCATCCTTGCATGGGTGTTGACTTTGAAGCTCTAGGTCTTGCTGTTCCTGAGGTATCCTCTTCTGAGTTTTGCTGGGTTCTTCAAATTCCAATCCTGTTCGACCCTCACCCTGGTATTTCGGTTTTTTACCTTGTCCCAAAGCTTCAAACTCGATCTCCGTCCCACCTTCATCCTTGTATTTCCGTTTTCGACCTTGCCCAGAAGCTTCAGGCTCCATCTCCATCCCACACTGTTTAGGTTGCCACATGGACTCACTTCAGTATTTGTCTTTGCTGGGTGCTAGCTCCCTGGTATGGTATAGCCTTCTTATTTCCAAATGAATGCAACCGTCTGCCTGACTCTGGCTGGGTGTTCTTGGGCTGGTCACCTTGATATCTGAAGAATTACTTATTCCAGTAATGGTATAATCCACAAATTGGTTCAGGGTCAGAATCTTATCAGTCCGCAGGATGAAGAGCTCAGAATAGCTTTTCTTTATAAACAAGAGTTGACTTTGGACGTCAGGGTCAGTCAGACTATGAAGTCAACTGAGCTGAGAACAGGAACTGATTGGTAAATAATCAAATGTTGGCAGTTCACTGGGGTCCACTGTGAGAAACCCCGTGTAGTTCTAGGATTACTTCCTCAGAAGGGTCCTGCAAGGGCTCAGTAACCAGCTAAAGATCCAGAACTTCGAAATCAGAAGGATTGTCCTAGCCACTGTAAGACACCAGGCCGTAACCATGCAGCTAACACATCGGAGGCAAGCCTCACAAGTGATCCCTGACTCCGAGGTTACCCTACCTACAGCCTTCAAGGTTCCATAGCTGATTGTGATGTGACCTAAAAGAATGTAAATCAACATTCTTTGGAGGGTGACTGCCCTGCTTACACTCAAGTCAGTCTAGGAGTTGGAAGAGAGAGTTAGAGTGTTACAAACTAATCATACATACTTCAGTTCCCTTCTGTAAAGCACAGTCTAAATAGTCTCAGCATAATCTAGCTTGTCCTGATTAGCACATTTGTCTTTTAGGAAATTGTCCATCATGGTCAATAATAGAAAAGAAAATAAAATTGCCCTTTAAAATGGCTCCTCATGATATGCTTACTAATTACAAAAAAAATAGAATTTTACAGTTATAAAACCCAGTAGGTACTATTATGTGACAAAAGATTTCATGGGGAAAAAGAGTAGATGTGAAACACACAAATCTACTCTCCCCTGATAGAGAAGCCAGGACAGATCAAATTTTCGATACCACCAAAGTCCAACTTAGTGAAGTAATAAGTTCTATTGGGCTTACTTACAATGATATGGTTGAGGGGTTATTTACAAGAGCAGAAATGACTCAAAGACAGGTGCATCATCATAGCCCGCTCTCAGCATGAGTGACAGCTCACAAAAGCTGGGAACTTGGAAACATTGCACATCCTGCAAGCAACTAAACAGGCCGGAGAATGTCCTTTCTAAGTGACTTGGTTGGTCTAAACCTCTTTCAAGTAGCTGGCTGGTTTCTGCTTCTTCCAGGGAGCTGGTCTGTGGTCAGCTCTTCTCAGAGTCTTCCTTGCTGCTCAGCTTCCTTCCATCTGAGAGGGACTTTCAGCTTTTATTGCTTATTCTGGCAAGGAGGGGGTCTAGTGAATCTTGTCAGTTTCAAGGACTTTCTGAGCTCTTTTGAGTTGTTTGTATTCCTCCTTAAGGAGCTTCCCATCAGAGTGGAATGTTTCAATCTTGGAGGAAACTTTTGCACAACAGATACCAACACACCAAGGATAAGCACATTGCCAATGAGAATAAATAAAATGTCAGCTTTGTCAGGATTTGTTGAAAAAGACAAATCTCTACCAAGGTGACAGTCCTTGTAATAACACAAGCCTTGACCTCATCCCTGGAGAGCAGTAGGGAGAATTAAATTGGAGCTGGAGTTACAGATGTGTGGTTTTTCAGGGGGTGCAGGGATCTGAATACAGTCGCCATCATTATACAACAAATACTTTAACTACTGATTATCTCTGGCCCCTTGAGCAGCTCTTTCATCTACTTTCAAAAGTAGAGTTGTTTTTTTTTTTACAAAAGTGTGAGCAAAGAAGTAGAGACACATATTGTTTGTTGTTTACCATTGAAATATAACCACTTAACACACCGTGTAAGTATATTTATACCAGTGTTTTACTGTAAGGGAAAATGTACTTTTTTTCTGTAACAAGTTTGACTTTCTTATGATTATTATTTCCACAGGTATCATTTTATTCTTATCAGGCTTCTTTCTATCCTTTCTAATTACACCTTGAAGATATTAGTTCACAAACAGAAAAAAAGTTCAAATTCCCACACTGATCTTTGCATCACTGAATAACCTAATGACTGGGCTCCCTTTGCAATGGTGACCATTCTGTTTAGAGCATAAATTTACTCTACTCGATTTGTAAAAACAGGTGTTTTTAGCTTGTTTAAGCCATGAGGAAGTTGTTCCTCCCTTAAAAATACCCTGTCAGCTGGCCCAAGATGAATTACTTCCTGTTGCAATTGGGTGTAGTAAGCTTTCCTGTTGATACCACCAGCCCACAAATAACAACACAGAGACTTATTATTAATTACAAAAGCTTGGCCTTAGCTTAGGCTTTTTCTAACTAGCTCTTATAATGTGAATATCCTGTTTCTATTAATCTATGCTCCATCATATGGCTTGATTACTTTTCCTCTGTCCTGTATGTCCAACTTTTTCTGCCTCCTGTTGGCCTTTCCCAAACACCCAGATTAATCCCTTTCACTTCTTCTTTCTCTCTCTCCTGGAAATCCTGCTATCCTCTCCTGCCTAGCTATTAGCCATTCAGATCTTTATTACACAATCACAACAGTACATCTTCACTCAGTATACAAATATCTCAATGCATTTCCCCCTTTTTATTTAAAAGGAAAAAATTTAATTCTAACATAGTAAATCTATATTCAATACAAAAAATTATTGAATAAGAGTTACATTCACAATGTTCCTTCGTATTTGGCAAATTTGGAGAAAGTACTGTATTATCTATATTTATGAGTCCAAAGGTTTATACAAAAATCATTGTTTTATCATAACTTGCATTACCATTCTAAAAATATCTTTTTAGACCTTAAAACATTTTTTTGGATAAACAACTTAACCTTTTATGTTTCTCTACCTTATAAACTTTACATCTCTTATGTAACAAGGAAACAAGGTAACAAGGAAAACTATAACTATAACTATCTAGCCTTCAACCCCATCAAAGATTAGAGAAGGATATAACATTGCCCAAGGAAACCAAAAGTACAGAACAAACAACTTCCAAAACTATAGAAATGGCAAAGACAGCTGGCTGCCTGGACAGTCGCTCAAGGTTCCTCTACAATGTTGGGGCATTCATCTTAAGCCTACAGGCCTAGAATATCTGACAAAGTTTTCTGTGAAACAGAAATTTTGAAGGACTATCCTCCCTTGTCTTGGCAAAGTTAGGCCACCTCTTTTTTTTGTGTCCTACTTGTCCAATTTGGACAGCCTACTGTCAGCAGTCAAGGCAAGGGCAGTTTCTTGCCTAATGGCTATTTTTGCCACACTGAAATCAAACTCCATATGGAGGTTCTTTGATACACATCATCCTTTTTTGAAGTAAATTTGTGCTCCCAAGAGCAGACATGTCTCACTGTCATGAAAATCCTTATGTTATTAAAACATCTTAAATACATATTCTGTAGATCTCTGAAGTGTTTGAAGACCACTTATTTATCTAAAATATATCTTGTTTGACTTTTCAAAAAATACCTAACATGACTACATGTCTAATTGTGATAGAAGACTACTAACTTGTATTTTTTAATTATCTTAAATAGTTTATAATAATAGTTTTCAAGGACTAGATATTTTCATTACATTGTTAAATGAACTGCAAAGGTGCAATAACTTAAACAAGAGTAGAAACATATATACAGTATAACAAAAATAACCTTAAATTTGTATCAATAAATAAAAATCAACACCAATGTAAAATATTTGAGACTTGTAGTTGCTTTTTTAGTTTAAAAGCAGATTCAATAATTTACCCCTTTATCCTGTCGTTTCTATATCCATCCCTTCTATTTTCAGAATGAGATCCTTGAATCTAATGTCCTTTCCTCAGCTTCCTCTCTATGACCAAAAACAACTTGCAACCAACCCCCCTAAATGTTGATAAACATCCATAATCCATCAAATGACCAAAAACCACCCACCCCACTTCTTGGGAATGTGGGTATCATGTATTCTAGACTGCTTCCTGTTTTATGGGGTGATAGCATCTTTAGGGAACCCTGAGAAAATTGGGACAATGGTTAAGTCCTGGTATAGCCAGACAGCTCCCAAATCACAACGCGGAGACTTACTAATTATGAAAGTTCTGCCTTAGCTTAGACTTGCCCCATTAGCTCTTATAACTTAAATTAATCTGCTTCTATTAATCTATATTTTATCATGTGGCTTTTTACTTATTTTCATTCTATATGTCCAACTCCCTCTGTGTCCCATTGACATCTCTCTGGTATAATTCAAGTGTCTAGATTTCTCTTCCTCTCTCTCCTCAGAAATCCTGCCTATATCTCCTGGCCATTAAGCTTTTTACTAAATCAGTCACAATGATACATCTTCACACTGTGTAATCAATTATTTTGCAACAGTTGTGCTAGTCTTAAATAATTGCTGATTGCTGCAGAAATATTTCAGTGCCTCAGGTATTCCTACAAGGTAATGAGTCACAAGATTAAACAGACTGACTGCTAAATTCTTCTTTTGTATGAAATACCTGCTTGCTTGGATGTATGAAATACCTGCTAGACATCAGTGACAAAATCAAGCCTTGCCCCAACCCAGACAGAATATGAGTTAATTTGGCTACATAAAATTATAACTTTTTTTTTTTTGGCCTATGTAATCCTTTGGTTAACACTAGTTGAGACATTCCTTGAGAGGTCCACACCCCTCCTCCCTGCACCAAGGCTGCACAAGGTGTCCACAATAGTCACTGGGCTCCAAAAAGCCCTCTAGTTATCCAGGGACAGATCTAGATTCCACTGCCTTCCCCCCCCCAAACAGTTCAAGCTAAACAATCATCTCACCTATCCAGAGGGCCTAGTCCAGAACCGTGGTGGCTGGAGAGCTATTGGTCCACAGTTCATGTGTTTCCACTAGTTTGGCTGACCACCTGTGTACATTTCCCCATCATGATCTTGATGTCCCTTGTTCATAGAATCTCTCCTCTCTCTCATCAACTGGACTCCTGGAGTTTAGGCTTGCTCCTAGCCATGGATCCTGCATCTGCTTCCATCAGTTACTGGATGAAGACTCTATGATGAGAGTTAGGGTATTCACTAATCTGATTACTGGAGGAGGCCAGTTCAGGCACCCTCTTGACTATTGCTGGTAGTCTAAGGTGAGGTCATCCTTGTGGATTCCTGGGAACTTCCTTAGGACCCTGTTTCTCATTATTCCCATTTCTTCATTTATCATGGTATCTCTTTCCTTGCTCTCCCTTTCTGCCCCTGTTCCAGCTCAAATCTCCCATTTCCTTATGTTCTCATCCCCCATCCCTTGCCCTCCATTACCCCACCTCACCCCTAGTTTGCTCATGTAGATCTTATCTATTTCTCTTGGCTGGGCATTCATGCGACCCTCTTAGGGTCCTCCTTGTTAGCTAGCTTCTCTGGAGCTGTGGGTTGTAGTCTGGTTATCCTTTGCTTTACATCTAGTATCCACTTATGATTGAGTGCATACCATATTTGTCCTGAGTCTGGGTTACCTCAC